CTTCCAACCTCTTCTTCCATCTTCTGAGCAGGAGGGCTCGGCTGGATGCCCTCTGAAGCCCCTTCCAACTCTATTATCCCATCTTCCGAGCAGGGGGGATGGACTAGATGACTCTCAAGGTCCCTTCCAACCTCTTCTTCCATCTTCTGAGCAGGAGGGCTCGGCTGGATGCCCTCTGAAGCCCCTTCCAACTCTATTATCCCATCTTCCGAGCGGGGGGATGGACTAGATGACCCTCAAGGTCCCTTCCAACCTCTTCCATCTTTTGAGCAGGAGGGCTCGGCTGGATGCCCTCTGAAGCCCCTTCCAACTCTAGCTATCCCATCTTCTGAGCAGGGGGGCGGACTTGATGACCTCTGAAGCCCCTCGCAACTCTTGTTATCCTGTTTTTTGTTTTGTTTCCCCCCCCCGCCCAAGTGTTTGCGGGGCCTGGCTGGATGGCTCCCCCACCCCCACGCCCCTCACCCGGGCACTTGACGTCCATGAAGTAGGAGTTGGGGCTCTGCACCAGGCGCTTCTTCTTGTGCTTCCGCTTCTCTTCCTCGGGGGAGGGGTGCAGGAGGTCCTTCGCGAGCTGCGGGGGGGGGGAGAGAAGAGAGACCAAAATAGAGAGAGGGGATGAGACCCCCGCCCCCCTCCTCCTCCCCTCAGGCTCCAATCCCGCCCCCGCCCCCCCCAACCGCCTCCACGCCGCCATCTTGAGCCTCGGCGGCGTGGCCAGCTCAGCGTGGGCCTCCCCCCTCCCCCCGCTCTTGGGAGGCCCGGAGAAGCCCTCGAGGCGGCCCCGGAAGGTGCCCCCGGGCGAGGGGAGAAGGGAGCGGGGCCCGCCCGGGGGAGGCCGAGCCCGCAGAGAGACGCACCGGCATGTTCGCGTGGAGGCAGCTGCGGACGAAAAGGAGGCCGGCCGGAAGGAGGGAGGGCTATATCCGCTGCGGGGTTTCCCCCGCACGGGGCGGAAGTCCGCGGAGGGTGGGCGGGGCGAAAAGGGCGCCATCTTGGGGAGGTCTAAAGAGGAGGAGGAGGAGGAGGAAAGGGGGGCGGGGCAGAGGGAGGGAGCCATCTTGGGCGCCATTTTGAGACGGAGGACAAAGGCGTCCCCTCCCCCCCTCCTTCTTGTCCTCCTCACAGCCCTGCAGGGTAGGCCGGGCTGAGGAAGATATTTATTCTTCTGCTGCTGCCCTCCCAACACACACACACACACAAACACAAACAACACCCACGCAAGGCACAATGTCCCATTGTCTTACTCGGCTCTTCCCTTGCTCTGAAGGCTTACCAAGACTCTAGTCCTCATGGAAGAGGTTTATTCTTCTGGTGGTCCCCCAACACACACAACAAACACACACACACACTCACAATGCACACAACACACACACACACACACACACACACACACACAACAGATACACACTGTCCCGTTCTCGTGCTCAGCTCTTCCCTTGCTCTGATGGCTTACTAAGGCTCTAGTCCTCATGGAATAAATTTATTCTTTGGGTGCTCCCCCAACGCACACAACAAACATACACACACTCACCGTGCACTGTTCCCTTGTCAAGAAATGCATGACGTAGTTTTAAACGCCGGCGGTCATTGAACATTATGGACACCAGATTTAATCAGGACGCCAAATATTTCCATATTTTGCAAGGACATTTTTTTAAAATTAATTTATCCAGATTGTAAAATAGAAAAGAGAATGAAAACGATAGGAAACCAGAGGAGGAAAAAAGGAAAAAGGAGAGTGTGTAGCGGAAAAGGGGAAAAAATGCAAAAAAAAGCCCATTAACTTCTAACTCTTTTTAGACCAGTGGAAAATAATAGACATTACAGCCTCATTTTTTTTAACTTTTGCATAATAATATATGCGCCATCCATTTCTATAACAAAAAGTCTAATCTAATCAGCAAGCTCCAACATCCAACTTTCGTTTTTATTGCTTATCTCAAACACAACATCCTGTGAAGTGTTTTCCAAGCCGAAACAAACATGAGAAGGGTTCCCAATAAAATAACAATCGTTTAAATAAACAATATTAATCAACAATATTTCAAGGATGAGGATGACAGCAACAGAAAAAAAAACCTCCTCCTGGGAATTTTGCATTTTTTGTTGCAAAACAAAAATGGATCCTTTGCTCAAGGCTGCCTCTTCCCTCTCCCTCCCTCCCTCCCTCTGCCTGAGGAAGGCACTCTGCCCATGCTCAGGGGCCCTCTTTTTCTCACGCCCCCAGGGAGCTCTCCAGCTCCTTCTTGGCAAAGGAATGAATGAATTCCCAGCAGCAGCCGCCACAGCTGGACGATGCTTCCTCCTCCTCCTCCTCTCCATATGAGTCAGGGGTCAACCCCTCCTGCCTTGGGGTGGGGGGGGCTGCTTCCCTGCCCATTTTGGGGAGGGGGGGAGGGAGGGGTTTGGGCATCCTTGTCAGAGGAGGAGGAGGAAGAGGAGGAAGAGGAGGGCAGAGGGAAAACTTCAGCCCCTCCTTCCCCAAAGTTTCTTCCCGGCTGGATCCTCACCT